TTGCCACTTAAATGCCGCTGCTTACACCTTTTTGCATGCATCAAGTCATTTTCAACGTATCAGAGACTCATTCGCACTCTGGCATTTTTGAACAGCCTGTGAAATGTTTAAGAGGCCCTAACCGACCCAAAACTAGGTAGTAGAATTTATTAGAAATGCTTCAAGACCGTTGTTAGTAGCAAAATAGTTTTTGAGAGGAATCATTCTTTTTTTATTCATCCGACACCACGTACACAAATTCCAAATTGTAGTGCTTGCATATTGCTTGGATTTCCTTGGATGAAACAGATTGATAAACGCCTCACCGGGATGGAATCATTGATTTACAGTAGCAAGCTCAAAAGCTTATCTACCCGTCTCCCTATTATTACTATTGAATACTTGAAAATACAACTTCTTCTGATCATATGGACCTGTACACCTTCAGTTCGCCATCCACGACCTCCCCGCCATTAACATGTATCGCTAACGTTGGTAAACACCTTCTACTCTCATAGTTCAGTGTCTCTATTAATGATCGCTCCGCTAAACTGCCAACCAACCAACGTACCAACCGTACGTGAATCAAGTTTGCTCCTCTCCTATGCGCTTAAAACCAACCACTTTAATAAAGCCAGTGAAATCAGCTCGATAGCACCGTCTAAAATTTATACGATAGTAACTCCTCGCAGATGGAGCTGAAAATGCCCCATTTAGCACTGCTCCATGGCGCAATTCCGAGACTGAAGGGCGGTTTAGGTTGCGCACATGACCTAATTCACTATGAAACAACGAAAGAGATGTCAATTCTACCAAGTCTCCAGACCCGGGGATGACCTTGCGCATGACAACGCAGCAGTGTGGCCTGATTTCCAGTTTCATGACTCCAACTCTCAATCATACATTTTAACAGTGATCACAACAGACCACATTGGCAATTCGAGAGACAAAAATCACACGACTAATTCATGGACTGAGGGCCATCAAACATGAAGTTCAGGTCACTGATATGAAGGTGGGTGCAAGATATAACATTCTTGTAAGCATGAATGACTAGCAACGTATAGCAAATGTGAATTAAGAATATATGCCAACAGAAACTGAATTTCCGTGAACTATCATTAGACCAAAATGCAAAGTCATGCTTTGCACTATTGAACAAAGCGATGGCTCGGATCCCACTGTTACTGTTTCAAAAATAGACCGAGAAGCTCAAGAAGAGGTCTACTTGATTTGGCCCAAAAAACCCATGTTGAAGAAGTGTATAAATACCAGACGTGATCATTTCTTGTAGAAAATACAATAAAACACTAGATAAATTAAAGAACCGAGGCATATCTGAGTACGGAAATTTACTCGATCTTGTATGGAAACGTGTCACTCTCCACCTGTTCAGTCCATGCTTCAATCTACGAAGTAATCATAGCAAAATAGGCTAACCATAAAACTAGGACACAAATCTCTGTAAGCGAATTCAAAGTAATTGCACGGTTTATAGTCTTCGCCGTATATACGCTTACAGCGGTGAAAATCGATGAAGTTTTGTAAGCAGTTTCTGTAAAAATACACGCTTTAGAAAATCGAGTACCTGGTTTGGTTAATGTTTGGAAATCGAGGATCGTGAGGCACTGTCCTTATAAAAGAATAATCCCCAGTTTCCTTAGCTTCCCTAGCTTTTTTGCGATAATCATCAATATCAACCATGGTTCGATGCTCAAGTTGGAAGGCGCGTCACCCAGTCCAGGTAAGTTCCAATTGGCAGTTTACCATACAAGCTTCCCAAACATGCAAGACACAATCATGAAAAAAGGAAAACAAGGAAGCTGCGAATAAAGGCATAAGTACAAATTTTCAAGGCGTATTATGGAACATTCAAGTATGTCAAATCCATTAAATTTAAGGCACGCACATATTTGTGTTTTGTGAAAATGCATTACACAATTCTCCGCAAATCTGAACGCAACTAACTTGTCTTGATATGACATCCATTAGCTCGGTCTGCAACGTTGATATGTATCATAGTGCTGTATATTAATGCAAGAATGACAGTGGAGAAATTGTAAACGATACTACTTCAGGTTTTGGTAAACCTTTGCAAGTTCACCTATTTTCCATGTGCTTTGATATAATCATTTCGATAAGCCCCAACTTTGCTACGAATAAGGTTTGGTTTCCTATACCAATTTAGGGTGTCTTAAATTTACCTTGGGAAACATAAATCTGTTAGCACTATATTTATAGCTTCGCCTGGCTGCGAAGCTATTATACACAATTTTCGAAATTCAAAAAAACTGTGAATTAGGATTTCAGAATCGGACTAACATTTGTTGCACACAAATTATTGCTTGTTTTAACAGACTCCAGGATTGTAAAAGCACCGTGCAAAGATGGGCAGGCGTCCGGCCAGATGGTGAGCTAAAGGTTTGTTGACATCGTTGTTTAGCTACCGCTATTGTAAAAACAAACCGTATCCCAAATCTCGGTTCTGTCGTGGTGTTCCTGATCCCAAAATTAGGATCTTTGATCTCGGCAAGAAAAAGTTCGGGGTGGATGAGTTTCCGCTATGCGTACACTTGCTTTCCGATGAATATGAACAACTCTCAAGCGAGGCTTTGGAGGCTGCTCGTATTTGCGCTAACAAGTATCTCGTGAAGTACTGTGGCAAGGATGCATTCCATCTTCGTATGCGTGTACATCCTTACCATGTTGTGCGTATCAATAAGATGCTGTCTTGTGCTGGTGCTGATAGGTAAACTTTTGTGCTGGTTTTTTATCTTAGATTGCAAACTGGTATGCGCGGTGCCTATGGTAAACCTCTTGGCACTGTTGCTCGGGTCAACATCGGCCAAGTCATAATGTCTGTTCGTGGAAAGGATATGCATAAGTCTCAGTTTATTGAGGCTTTCCGACGTGCTAAGATGAAGTTCCCTGGTCGTCAAAAGGTACCTTTACTATTAGAACTCCGCATCTGTGTGTACTGTTGCTCTGTTAGATCAACAGAAGGTATGATGCGATATCAAACCTAGCTGGTACATCGATCACCAGTCAGGGACATTAGGCTACTGTTGTCGATTTTTATTTCTACTACGATGGATATGCGTCGTTGGTGTGCGCAAGCACACCATGAAATCATATCCTAAATAGACGGCTGAACAACTTAGAATGGTTGAGGTTTTTGTCTGCCCACAATCTATTCGTTTTCTTATTCTCACTGCATCTAATTTCTCTTCTAGATTGCTGTTTCCCAAAACTGGGGTTTCACTAAGTGGAAGCGCGAAACCTTTCAGGAGATGCGGAGTTCTGGCCGCCTGCAGTACGATGGTTCTAACGTTAAGTATTTTCCTAACCATGGTCCCCTAACGCTCTGGAAAAAGACGCAATCTGCCCTTTTGGGTCTTGAGTAATGAAGAGTCAATCAATAAATTGGTAATTGCTAGAACATCTCGTATATTTTCTGTCTTGCTAAATGTGGTGGGCTTCTCGCCTTATGTCTGTGGTACTGCTGATAGCGGCTTTGGATTCTTTAGTCTTACGATGTTAGCCTTGATTGCGGGCACTGGTTGATCTCGTACTCTACTCCTGTTTTGGTTTACCTTCCGGTAAACTCGCGCTGCAGCAGTCAACCGAGAACGAATCTGCACCGGTATTGGAGCGGACTCATGCTCATCAGAAGCAGTCACTGCTCATATGGAGCGGCTAGCGACGTAGGAGTGTGCACGTTGATGGATGCCCGAACCTTAGGGAACCCTAAGCCTGCACCCGAGTCGTCCTTACTACCACTGCAGTGGGTAAACTTTAGTCCGTAGACATTGGTTTTTCGAAGTGCTACGTCGGGAGTGTTTACAAATGCCAAGAATGAGTGACCCGAACACGAAAACCCAGAGAGGGGAAAAATTGTATTCCAGCTATGGTAAAATACATCGCACAAGTTCAACCCATGAAGTTGAACACAGCCAAGTGAAGTACAATATGTGCAAAAACGAAGTTTCCGAAGGCCCATTCGGGCATATAGTCGGGAAACACATCGGCGTTCTGGGGATTGCTATGCATTCGTAAACAAACGGCCAGTATAAACGACGCCACAGTGGATATAAATCCAGCGAGAAAAGCATTAAACGGGAATGTTCCAACTAAACAACAGTAAACGAATTGTATAGCACCGGTAATGAAAACGTAAAGGAGGTAGGCGTCAATCAACTTAAGTTTTAAGGCGGTTGTCTGCTGATACTCATGGATAATATCTGAAACAACAGAAAGAATAGAAGAATCATTCTTGGGCTTCTGCTGGGCCAGCCTCTCAACCTGAACCTTCGATTGCTTTGACGGCATTACGTCAGGTAGTGCACCTTAGATGTGTAACATTGATTGGTTAAAATACTTTTGCCGGGTCTCCTCAAAGAAACCAAAAGAATTCATGAAAATGATTGAATCTTTCAAAAAAGGATGATACCTTTATCTAACTATCTTGGGACCATTATGGGAATTAAAGAGGGAAGTTTAGAAACAACTTGATTCTAAGTGTGTATAGGACGGAACCTTAATAAAATGCGATTTAAAATGGTATTAGATAAAGTGTCTCGCATTACGATATATGTTTTCCTGATTTTTTTATTGACGAGCATTCGCAGCTTACACAACTGATACGACCATTGATTTTAGATGCTTCGGTGTCATATATCACACGAGCACATGTCGAAGTAATTCCTCTTTCTTAGGCAGAGGATTCTAATAGAGTTTACTTTAAGTGTGTTTAAAGTCAACCGAAGTAATGTTTTATATAGTTGCGTCACGAGAAATCCTATCCGGTATAAGTCGGAAAGTGAAGTTGGATATATGTACTCTGAAGACGACAGGGAAATTGGACATGAGCGTGGTCCAAAGGCCAGACCACGCGTACAAGGGCCAGACGCATCCTAAAGTGACCGCCAAACATCAGGTAGTCACATAGACAAAGCATTAAAGATATAGTCCTTTTAAAGTTCTTTGCAGAACACGGTGGCACAAGGCACAAATATCGTAGTACAAAGGCTAACAAAGAGTGTAATGTCCCGGGATTTTTGCTTGGCGGTAGAAGGGGCTGGACTGTGCAATACTTTGTTCATGTTACCACCTGATGTCTGGCTCTTGTACGCATGGACTTGCTTTTGGGCTTACCTCAAGCTTACTTCCTCTTCTCTTCAGCCCATCTTAATGCCTACTTAAATCGAACAAGAAGCCCCGAAACGATACGAGGCACAGCTGAATACTCGTATTCAGACACCAAGGGTAGAAGCGAGGCAAATTAACGTGTCTGTCAAAGTGACAGCCATTCAAACGGTTGCTCTTATAGGCAAATAGTCACAACTAACTTTTCATTTTTGTCCTGGGATTAAGCGGATTTACTCTGCTCGAATAGTGTTCGGCTTGAACTTCAACCTGTGATTGGTAGGATATATAAAAACTTGGCCTAATTAAACTTCCAATCACTTAAGAATCCCAAAAATGAGGGTTCAAATGACATTAAGTTTTGCCAAATGTTTATAAAATTTTTTGCACGCATCCACTGTTAAGGCATTTTACAGGCGGTCGGCCTCGTGGTGCCAATATTAAACAGACTAACTATTAAACTAATGAACCGCATGGAAGACAGTGGCGTAATTCCTTTACTACGGTACACATTGTTAAGTGACGTATACAAAATTGTCTCTGCTTCCTAAAAGCCAAGCATTGGCCACTTTGAGAAGTGGAAAAAGCACTAAGTGATAAAATGGTGGATTATTTTCATCTCAAAACTTTCCGTTTGGTAATCAAGGCCATAAGATCTGGCAGAAAGGACATATTTAAGCAGGGTTTGGTCAAACAACCAACTGTATTCTACTGTGCATCAGATCACGAAAGTGAGACAGCTGCAGTGGATGATTGAGTCAGCGAGGACTTTATAGAAGGGGTAAAGATTGATTCTACACGTTTGCGAAGATTTGCAATTGTGTCAGGCTGAAACCGCTTGGGAGAATACGTTTTGGAGATGGGATGGCAAAATTAGCCATCCATTAATTCTGTGATTCTAAGCTCAAAAAAGAATGAAAACGAAGCGACACGTATGAATTAAAAACAAATAATTCCTCTCAAAAAATTACTCTGCTACCATCAACGACCTTGATACGTTGAAAATGACTTGATGCATGCAAAAAGGTGTAAGCAGCGGCATTTAAGTGGCAA